CTTAACACAAAGAAAACAGGCGTGCCTAGATGGGCCTTCTAGCTTCGATTCCCACCAGCTCATGACTGGCCAAGTCATACTCCCTTCCTGGGTCACACGTCATCTGCTGCACAAGGAGGGGTGTTTAGCATCCTCCTCAAACACTGCGTGTCCCGTAAAAGGCCACCATGGGGACATGGTGAGCACTCGACGTATGTTCACCCGCCTCCCTTCTCTCCCACTTGCGAACAGCAAATGGGGCACAGTCATGCAATATTTAAATTTTCCCCCCAAATGCTAAGGTGTCAAAGGAGGAGGAGGAAGACGGGAAGGAGGGTAAAAGCGGGGGCAGTGAGGGGAGGAAAAAAAGGACAAGTCGACATTAGAATTTACCCCGAGGAGAGAAGCATGAATAAAGATGGACCACAAGGGTATTCGTGGCATTATTCACCATAGCGGGAAACTGAACAGGGACTAATTATGCAGGAACATGAAAATTAGTTTTATGACAGATTAATAAAAATATGTATAACCCAGATATGAATATAGATATATGAACCATGCAGAAAAGTATTCCTGGCATACTAATCTATGAATTAGTCAAAATTAAGACATAGAGAGTAAAGGCAGGAAATGAGAAAGGTAGTGTATCTGGTCATTCTTATCACAAAGAGTGAAAAAAGAATAATTGTAGCTAATTTGCTCTGTGTCTGTAGAAAAATGAGCGTGCCATGAGAAAATTAAAGTGACAATAACCACATCATTGGGTTCCCTGCATTACAGGGTCATGCAGATATGCCAACATTTCGGGTTCAATCCCTGGTCTGGGCACATACAAGAATCAACCAATGAATGCATTAAAGGGTGGAACAACAAATCAATGTTTCTTTTGCTCTCTCTTCCTCATTCTAAAATCAATAAATAATTATTTTTAAAATAGAATGAGGTCGGCTAGGGTCAAACACAAGAATATCAGAGAGTTGTTTTGTTTTTTTTTAATGAAAGACACCTGTTGTTGAACTTACAGAATCGAATTAAGTTAACTTTTTTTAGCCAAGACAAAAATACTCCAGACAATCCATCAACTGTCTTGGTGTACACAGTCTAGCTGTCAGAAAGCACAGTGACAGAAATACACAACAGAGCCAAATAGGACTGTGTCCACCACTGGCCATCCAGGCTGCCCTGCAGTGACGATTTCACCACTATGGAGTGGTTCTGCCCACGCCTGCCGGAGACTGAACACTGCCGTCGGCACTCTGTGAGCCTTCAAAAGAGAGCTGTTAACAGGGCCTGGTGTAAACTGAACATTAGCTCACGGTGGTCCTTTCTCCACCTGAACACCTGGAAGTGTCTACCATAAGGTGCTAAAGACCATAATGTGACCCGAGAAAAGTTACTGGTTATCTAGTCATTATGTTCTTAGTAACATTCCCCCAAAACCAAATGTAAAAAATTAAGCTAATAGCCATAACATCGTTATAGCACGCTGCGTTACAGCACATCTCTCAAAGCGCCCTGTTCATCAGCAACCGTTCTCACCACGGGCCCAGGCCTGGGGCTCCTGCGAGCGGCACAGGGCTGCAGGACCAAGTCCCACGAGTCCAAGTGCTGCCCTTGAGTGTTTCCAAAAATACTCAACTGTTCCAGAAACGAGTTTCAAACTCATCGAAATGTTCATGCTCAGATGAAGACCAGTGTGCAAAAGAAGGTTTGTTCCATATTCTGAGTTTGAGGAACAAAGAAAGAATTAGAGGGAAAAAGAGATTAAAGTATTAGCTAGCCATGACTTTAAATGAAGTCCTAATCATTTTCTCTAGGAAACAATTAAATTTTCACTGACGTTCAGAATGATTTAAGACTTTTTTTTTATGAAAAAGAAAAGTATGGATAAAATTTTAACAATGTAATGTTACACTCTATTATCATTCCTTACATTTTCATTGAACTTTGCTTCCTTATTAGTTCTTCATTAAAAACTTAAGAAAAATACCTTTTTATTCCCAAACGAATTATGCTGAGAATTGCCCGGAATTCCTTTGAATAAATACCGTTATTTGAGTTCCTTTATTTGTCTTAGAGAAGGCTCCTGAAAGATCTCTAAGCACATGTTCTTACAATTCCAGTGGATCTGACTAGGTGTGTAACGTGCCGAAGCAACAACTGAAAGCTGTGTCGTTAGAATCCACTACCTACACACCGCTTATTTTTGCTGGAGCCATCTCCTTGGTATCTACCACTGTGAGTACCAATATATTATTCTAACTGTCGCCTCTCTCCCGACACATTTACAGATGCTCATGAAGAGCAGTGTTATTCTAAACATTTGCAAGAGCTTTTACATCCTGAAAGAAAACGAGACACCTACGCTGGGGAGAGTGGCAGTGGTGAGAACAAGGGAAGCTCCTAAGGAAAATTCTCCAATACGTTTGCAGTTGCTGTACCTGCAGGAGACTGGAACGAGCAAGGCCGAACCCGTTTCATTCTGAATTGTCATCGTCAGTAAAGCCACTCTTTCGTTTTGTCTTGCCATTTTTCTGGAATAAGCGCCTCTTAGATGCTTGGCATACTTGATATACAATACCGTCTAAATCAACTACAATTAGCAACACCATAATGGCTTTATAACTCTTTATGATATAGAAGTAATAGATTTACAAAACAATCTTGGAACAGTTATCATGTTTCATATCATTAATTTCCTTAGAACAAGGGGGGGGAGACACATGCAAACATTCTGGAATGAGACAGGGCTTCTGAGAGCACACGCCTACCTCAGAGCTGGGCTGACCTGAGTTAACCCGCGTCAAGTGCTTAGAATGCTGTCTGGACACAGCAAGCCCTGCCTGAACGTTAGTTGTTACCATTCCGTCATGTCCCGCTCTGCCCTGATGTGTGTGCCTCTCAGAGCAGGGGAGAATTGGTAAAGGTAAAACAGGAGAGTCCGCTCCCTTGGATGCTTCTGTACTGCAGCCCGCACAAGTCTGCCTCCTGAGAAAGAGGAGGGGCCCAGTCCTGGCCATGGGGCTCTTCAGGTAAAACCACTCCTATGGGCGCTGAGTACAAAAGATGATCAGAACTGTCTCAGGAACTAAAAAGCTAGTCTGGCTAGCCAGCTCTCACTAATCCTTAGCAGATATGAAGGATTGCCATGAGTTAAAATATGGACTTGAAAGGGGAAACCACGCTCACATCAGAAAAAAAAAGTGGATCCGTTAGAAATTGGGGGCATACGACAGATTAATGGGATCAGACTGACCAAGGAAGCCAATTCTAAGGCAACTCGGGAAGAGACAACAGTGTCGGCAGCCAGCAGCAATGCCAGGAGGGCAGGAAAGCAGGCTGGCCGCTTGGAGGCCCGCTCCTCCCTGTCTGATCAGCCAGGAGGAGCATCACCCTCCACTCTGGTGGGGGTGCAGCTTACTCAGGACCCCTCCAGCAGCAAGAATTCTTGCTCTGGCAGTTCACAATGCTACAGAATGCTGGGCTAAATGAGGAGTATGGGTTTGAGGATTTTATACACATTTTTAATGTGAGTGAATAAGAGTTTATTTCGAATGTCAAATGAAATGTACTATCAATAGAAATTACGTTCTCCCTGAGATTTTAAGAGCAGGCTTTAGAATGCTTTCTGAGTAGAGAGGGGTCTTTTTAAAAATTACAGTTGAACTATAAAAAAAGATAAGCACTTTCGAATCTCTGACCCATGCTCAGCAGTCGGGCAACATTGAAATCTGTTCAAAACCTCATTGGTACCCTTTGCAAAGGGGCTGAGTAGAAGAAAAAGCAGCACCTCAGCGGAGAATTTCAGCTCTGCGAACAGAACAAGTACTAGACTGCCAGAGGACTGTGCCAATTACAGTTACCAGGGTTCCTGTCCTCTCCAGGGTGTAAAACTGCTGTGCCTCCATCCATGTTTTATTTGGTCTTCACTATATTGATTTAAGGTCCTTCTTTCTATAACGGATGGTCAATATGCAATATTTAAAAAGGACAAAAAATAAGAAAAAGGAAAGTAACTGAAGGTGCCAACATAGCTCCTATAAGTGGGTATATGGTACTACTTGAAACCACAGATGTTTCACGTGGTTACCGAGGACGTGAGCCTTAAAGTAGCTCGGCCAGTTCTAGAGCTGGGTTTGCAGGACCAAGCACGCATAGGTCAAGGGCTGGGACTGTAAGACTGGGCCCAGGTGAGGTACATTTTGAAACATTTCAAGTACACACAGTAAGTCAAAAGGGTAGTGAGATTTTACCATATACTAGATGTTATTTGTAGTTATTTCTGTTTTTTTTTTCATAATTCCAAATTCACCATGTTAAATAGAGTATGTTCATTACTGCAAATAAAGTGTTGTATTTCCAAGCCCTCGGACTTTGACCCAACACCCTCCTGTGCGCCTTGCCCTGGTACACTGCCTTCAACCACAGGTGAGCCCAGGAGGTCTTCCACATTTAATCCTATTGGATGACAAACACAGGGGCTTCGAGTCTCCCACATTCTCTGAGGATCTAGTGTTTTTTGTGCTGTGTTAAGAGTCAACCAGTTATGACTTCATCTCACCAAGAGGAGGACCAGCTCATTAAATATTGCAAAGAAAATGTTAAGTTTTCATTTCTGTGTTGTTCAAATAGTTGGCAAGTATGTAGTAAATGCCTGCTCAGTGAGTAAATAAACAAGTGTGGGATTTCCTCCAGCTAGTACATGGTACAACCGAAGTAATAACTAACACAAACAGCCTTCGGTTTAGTTTCTGTAGGCTGACTACATATGCAAACTACACATCAGACTTTCATAACTGGGCCACAGTAATATTAATCTGTGACTGCACAAACATTTGACCTTGGAATGCCAGATTTAATATGTAACAGAATATTTGACTACAGAAAAAAACACCCTTTTTATATATTGCATGTGTTCAGCAACATTTTCCTGTTTATAATCAAGGAAACAATTTATATCCTTTAATCAAATATTAATACCAAACGCACACTGAAATAACAGAATGTTAATAGCCTACCTGAACATCTTTGTATTTGTCTCTTAAGTCCAAGAGCCGGTGATAAGCTTTAATGGCTTCAGAAAATTCCCCAACATCAGTGCTGATGAGGATGTAGTTCTCCCAGATCTGCCAGTGTTCGTAGTTGCACTTGAGGGCTTCCTGTAAAGTTCTAAAGGCCTTGTCTCTATCGGAGTGAAAGGTGAAGGAGAACAGCGTAAGTCATCACAGCTACATAAACCTCACCTCAGCGTGTGAAATGCCGCCTCGGACTTCCTCTTAGCCCGCAGTCCTTCAGGCTAATGAACCGAATTACAGACCCGAACAACCCCAAACCACCCCAAACTTCACTACAAATTTTTTAAAATTTTAAAAGAAGCAAGAAATTACAAAACAAAAACAGTTAGAAATAAAACAAGATTGGGGAGATGTGAATAACAAGGAACTAGAAATTTGGGGATTGAGACATTAGAACAAAACAAGAAAACCTCACTAGGATAAAAACCAGACTGCACACAGCCAAAGTCAGAACAGATGAACTGGAAGATAATAGCGAGGAATTTACAGAGAATTCAGAATTAAAAATAAAAGAGTAATAAAGAAACAGAGGAAAGAATGAAAGGTAAGCCTCAAACATATATTTGACAAACTCCCCAGAGTAAACAAATACAGAAAATGGCAAGATACTACCTCTTGAAAAGAAATAGCTAAGCATTCTCCAAAACTGAACAAAGATCTAAATTCTATGCTCAGAAGTATATTCTGCTTACTGAGCATTATAGAGGTAAACCAACACCCACACATACTGTGTGAAATTGCAGGACATAAACTCAATCCTAAAACCTACAAAATAATGGCAATTAGAGAACAGTAGATACATCGTTAGCAACAGAAGATGGTAGAAGAACACAGAAAACTACCTTTGAAGTGCTGAATGAAAATAATTGTGAGTCAAAAATTCTACAACCAGCTAACCACACCACTCAAGAGTAAATGCAAAATCAAACATTTTCAGATATACGGAGACTAAGAAAGTTTACTGCGTGCTGACCCCAACTTAAAAGAACTACTATAGGATCCCTTCTTACAAAAATAAGAGGGAATTAATTCAAAGAGAAAGAAAGCAATACAAGAAATGACCAATGCTGATAACAGAAATTGATTAAATATATCAGTAAATGTTTAATCATTTAGAACAAAAATTATTATGAGTTATTTGTATTTAAAAAATAAAACTAAAAGTATATAGGCCATATTATCTACAATTAAATAAGAAATCAACAGTTAGCCCTGGCTGGTGTGGCTCAGTGGATTGAGTGCCGGCCTGTGAATCAAAGGGTTGCTGGTTCCATTCCCAGTCAGAGCACATGCCTGGACTGCAGGCCAGGTCCCCAGTAGGGGGCACGTGAGAAGCAACCGCACATTGATGTTTCACCTCCTCTCTTTCTCCCTCTCCTCCCCTCTCTAAAAATAAACAAATAAAATCTTAAAATATATAAAAATAAAGTTAAAAAAAGAAATCAACAGTCAATAGATAGTTTAAAAATTGTATTCCTGGGAACTTAAATATGCACTCCTAAAAAAAACCAAACCCACAGTTGGGAAAAAAGTTAACATTACAAAGTACAAAATATTTAGAAATTAATGTGAGTACTATTTATCACCATATGCTGGATATGGGTAAAGCAGCATTCAGAGGTAAATCTATGGTCTTATATGCCTTAATAATAAGACATGAAAGATGGAAAATAAATTAGTTAAAGCATTCAACTTATTTTTTATAAGAAAAACAGCAAATTAAGTTAAGCAACAAGAACAGAATAGAATTAAGAAACAAAGTAATAATAAAGAATAGAATAATCAACTAAACTGAAAGCTGGCTCTTTGAAAATAACTCATGAAACAGACAAATGTCTAACAAAATTCCATTTAGAGTTAATAAAAAAAACATAAAAGAACACTATGGGCAAATTATACAAAATGGACTAAAAAAATACAAGCAATAAACCAATAAAAATTAAAGCTAGGACAGGTAGTTTTACAGGCAAGGTTTACCGAACCACCATGAAATCCCTGTCCTACACAAGCCACTTCAGAAAACAGAGGAAGACTATTAAAAACTTCTTATTGACAAGGAAGTCAACACAACCGCATGTCACCTACTGTAAAAGTTAAACATCTCAACAAACAGAAGGGTTCTTGATCAACCTCTAATATATCCATGGTATCGATCAAAATGATTTCCTTACAATTAAGTCCTTTCAGTCTTTTCGTAACAGCCAATTCACTACAGTTTAGTCTCCACTTTAAACAATGTACCTTAAGTTGTCATGAAATGCACTGATTCATTTATCCCTTGGCCCACCATCCTTTATAGATAAAAATGAAAGTACCCTTACTCAAACACTATTTCAAATCAGCCATAAATTATTCCTCTTGTATTTTTTTCCTTTCTCTGTTCCACTCTCTGTCCCCACGCCCACGTTACAGCAACTACCCTCAACGGTCACGCGCTAAGACTTCCCAGTCCTCCCGTCCACACAGAAGGTGCGGCTGAAGTCAGAGTCACTGTAGGGCGTGGACAGAATTCCTTTGAGAGGAGCACTAATAATTTCCCCCAGTGAAAAATTAGCTCTGTCCCAAACTGCAGCAGAGAAAGGAAAGCGTAAAAAGCTAGGAATAAAGGAGTGATTTACCTCTGACCTTACAACCCCACTTTTACACAGAAACCTATTCATGAAGCTGCAGGAAGACAAGGAAGCATCAAAAAGAAGTTGAGGAACAATGTGTAAAACTCCCTAAGGGAGAAAGCAGAATTCTTAGGATTACTGGGCTGGAGGACAAGGTTGGGTGTCTGGAGACTCACTACACACAAAATTATCAGGGCCGCTGGAAAAACCCACTGAGATCATTCTACAACTATGACAGGGATTTTCCCCACTCTTGCTTTCGATCAAAAGGGTCTCCAGTGAGTTTCACCACAATCAGTTGCAATCAAGAAGATAATATTATTTTCTGAAGAAAACGGTAGAACAAACAGTACTTTATTTTTGTAGACCATCATCCAAGAGCAGCGGAAGCATTTCATGATCTCAACGCGATGGGGATTTAATGTTATCTTTAGAAATATCTCATGAACCCACACAGAAAAATTAAATTAAGTTCGAAAATAAGGACAAATGAAAAGAAAAACATATCCATCCTTTAACTGCTTCACTAAAACCGTGGTAACAGCAACCCTCGTCTCTGCCCTTTCCTTCGCTTTCCGGAGCCAGTCAGCAAGCCCATCTGGTCGTCCCCTTTAGAAACTAGCACCCGCCCCTTCTTTTTCCAGTCTGGTTATCTCCTGCCTGGATTGTTACAACAGCTGTCCCGTAGCTGGTTTCCCAGTCCCCAGTTTCCTCTCCAGTCTGCCTCACACAGGGCCACCGGATAAATCTTCCCCAAAAGCTTTTTTCTTCATGAAACTACTCCCACTGAAATCCTGGCTTCCTGGTTCCAACAGAATAGTCTCAACTTGTTAGTCAGATAACCAGCGCTTACTGCAGTTTGACCCCAAAGGACCTTTCCAAACCTTACCACTCACTACAGATTTCACTGCAGTCTCTGGCTGGATTCTTCCACTTCTCATTTCCTAAGCTGCTGCGTTCACTCCTGTCACTCTGCATTTGATCAAATTCCCCTTGCCTGGAAGGAGTTCCTCTGTGCCCTCTACCCATTCTCCAAATGTGAGCTCGATCCCAGCATTTCCCTGGAAGGGTTCCTGAACCAGGACCCTCCACCCTCTCTCTCTCTTCTGAGGTGTCTGGTGCAGACTAAGTGTAAATATTTACAACACACTACCAGTGTTGTTCATTTTTAAACAATATGGCATATTTTATTTTTTCAACCTACAGTCGCCAAAGACACTGGTTCATATTGCTATTTTTTAATAATGTCTAGTTCACCACAAACAATCAATAAGAATCCATCAGTTGAGGTGACCAAGTAAAAGGCACGCTTGCTTTTATCATGTAATGATATTTAGGGTGTAAAACTTCAGTAGCATACAAAGATTTCAAATAATATTTCTTATTTCATTACATATTAAATATTTTCAAGAGATAAGCTAAATTTAAAAGTCAAGTGGCTATAAGGCACAATGTTTTAGTATTCAGTTGAAGAAAATCTCCTTCATTTATTTTGGAAGCAAAGTTCTTGCACTTACTTTTGTTTTAATCGGATATAGGATGTCGATAAATTGTTCCAAGCTTCAGCATTCTGAAATGACAGAGAACCCCAGTCACAGACTGTTCTCATTTAGGTAAAATAACTGCTACAACCAAAAATACAACATATTTTCCTAGTCTAAGATGTGCTCTTTACAATCATGAACTTCACCAAGGTACAACTAAAGGTATATGAAAAAAATTAAATTAATTAAATGTAAATTTTATAGTTTAGGATGAAAAAGCCACAAAGATAGTCAACAAACTGACATAACTGTCAGAGCACTAATCTGGAATTTAGTTAGGATTTTATTTGAAATTTAGATTTATGAAAGAGTGGGACAATTTACAACATAATTATACAATATACAGATTTACTGCAAACCCAAGGCAATGCAGAATATTGCTTCTCCTACCTTAAAGGCTCCGCTATTTCACCGTCATCCTTCAACAGACAGGATAAAGGAGTATGTGTGCTCTGGTGGTATCACTAAGTATTTCATCAAGCATATTTCTCTACCTATTCCTCTATGCAGTGACAAAATTAAATGAAAACTTTTATATAAATGTTGATTCTAACAAGCATGGTATGAATGTTTGCTCCTCTTCGTTCTGCTTTTCGTAAAATACAGACACATAATTCTCAAGTTCCATACCTGTGATCTAAAGATGAAGTGGCGGTGGACCTCTGCTTGCAGACATAGCACAGCTAGGACCAGTGGTCTCACTGCCATAAAAAGCTACAAACTGGACAAAACGTAGGAAACAAGTGCCTTTGAGAAGGGGGACAACAGACTGGATCATAGGACTGTGACCCCTGAGACAGGGCCGACAACCAAGGTATCTCACTAGCCAACCCAGGCTTCTAACAAGCGGCACTTGCAGAGAGGCGGAAACCAAATAAGGCACGGCAAGTCGTACAACATGAAGAAGGGGAGACCAGAGTTCAGGGCTGACAAGGTGGCTAGAATTTGCAGGGCAAAATTCGGGCAAAGACATATCTGCACAGAAGATAAGTTCCAGAAATCTCAGTAAGCATCTCGTTGAGCCCTGGGCTGAACACTAAGTTAGACACGTGCAGGGCAAAACTTCCTGAGGCCTGGTGGAAAGCTGCGAGCCAGGTGGAGGCTCTGGACGTCACGGTGCTCACAGTTGTTCAAGTTCCAACGAACCAGAGTGGAGAATGCTGAGGGCAGTAACCACCGTGGCATTAAATACTGTCCCAAAAGGCACTGTTAAGAAAAGGGTGACTGCAACTGTAGAACAGAGACAACTCCAGACCACCCTAACAAAGGTTAAAATCAAGCTGATCCACACACAAGTAAATTAACCAAACGCCAAAGCAAAACACTATCTTCTGAAAGGAAACCCAGAAACTCAACATCACAGCATCCACCATAAAAAATTGGTAGACATGTATGCAAAGAAGCAGAAAAATGTATCCATAACCAAAGGAAAAATCAGTTAATAGAAGCAGACACAATAATGAAAGAGACGTTGAAATAAGCATATGAGGACTTCAGAGCAGTTGTTACAAACATGACCAAAGATATGAAGAAAACATAAACATAATAAGAAAATATAATTGGGGAATCTCAGTAGAAATGTGAAATCTATAAAAAGAACCAAATGAAAGTTCTTGAACTAAAAAAATACATTATCTAAAATGATGTGTTTTTTTAACTGCTATATAGTTGATATACAACATTGTACTAGGTGCACAACGTAATGATTTGATACATGCATATATTGTGCAGTGATTTACCACGTTTGGTTAACATCCATCATGATGCACAGTGTGATAAGTTTAATGAATAAGTTTAAGAGCAGATTTGGACATAAACATAAGAGCTAAAACAATAAACCCATGAGATGAAAAGATAGGGGTCAATCCTTATGGCCTTTGATTTGGCCATGGATTCTTAGATATGACACCACCAGAAAGAGCAACAACAGAAAAACAGATAAGCTGGACCTCATCAAAATTAAAAACTTACATGCCTCTGAAGAAACTATTAAGAATGTAGAAAACAACTTACAGGAAAGGAAAAAATATCTTCAAATCCCAGATCTGATATGGAACTTGTATCCAGGATATATAAAGAACTCTTACAACTCAATAATAAAGACAACACAATTTAAAAATGGGCCAAGGATGTAAATAAACATTTATCCGAAGATGATACACAAATGGCCAATGAGCACATGGAAAGATGCTCAAAACATTAGCCATCAAGGAAATGCAAATTGAAATCACAATGAGATACTACCTACTAAGATGGGTACAATAAGAAAGGCAGACAATAATAGTATTGACAAAGATGTTGAGAACTTGGAAACCTCATGCTTTTAAAGTGGTGCTTTATTCCAGGCAAGATGGTGGCACAGGTAAACACAGCTCGCCTCCTCACAGAACCACATCAGAATTACAACTAAAATACAGAACACCTATCACTCAGAACCATGAGAAACTGAGTTGAATGGAAGTCTGACAACCACAGAATTAAAGAAACCTCATTCACCCAGACTGGTAGGAGGGGTGGGGATGTGGAACGGGCTGGTCCCACATCTAAGTGTGGTGGATAAAAATTCAGGAGGAATATTTTGGGAGTGAGGAGTCCCAGCCCCACACCAGGTCCCTAGCACAAGGTCTCAGTGACGGGAAGATAAGTCCCCATAACTTCTGGTTGCAAAAACCAGTGGGGACTGAGTCAGTGGAAGAAACTTCTGGAGTCCCCAGCAGTTCCCCTTAAAGAACCCACTCACAGACTCACTCAGATTCATTCCCACTGAGCTCCACCACCAGAGTTGCAGCTTGAAAGGCACCAGTGTCATACAGGGAGGGAGTGAAGGGTCTGGTGTCAAGGCAAGAGCTGGGGAGAGCTTTCTCCCAGACAGAAAGGCAGACAGAGGCCACTGTCCCCTTTCTGAACCCTCCCCCAACAGAGCCACAGAGCCAGCAGGTGGGTGCCATATCTGAGACTCCCTCAACTTAATTAATACTGTTTGCCCTGCCATGAAATCCCCTGAGACTCTGTCTCCCAACTTTTGCCCACCCAAGCTGTTAACAGTGACTTTTCCATATAAATGGCTGGTCTTAGCTCACGCTTCACAACTTCATAAATCCTATCAAGCAAGTATCAGCCAGCCTCAGTGAGCCCCCAGCCCCCATACCTCTTGCTATGTGGCCCCAGGCCCTGTACTAGCAGCCTCCAGTCTAAGTTCATAGATTGGCTTTGCCTGGGAACCTCCAAGCCCAGAACAAGTAGCAGCCAACTCACACTGCTTTATAACTCAGGCAGGGTGGCCTCAGGCAGAACACAGGTAAAGAATGACCTTAGCCTGTACCACGTGGGAAACCGCAGAGCCTATGCACCCAGTGGACAGCTACAGACCACATCAGAGCACCACCACCCTGCCCCTGCACAGCTGATCCTCCATGGAGGGTAGAGGTTAGTGGTCAGTGGTTACAGCCAGTACCTGCTGCTGGATGGCCTGGGTAAATCCCTCCCATTGACCTGCCAACAACAATCAAGGCTCAACTACAAGAGAAGGGTATACGCAACCCACACAAAGGGTACACCTCGAGTACCTAGCTTGGATGATAGGGAAGGCTGTGCCACTGGACCCTATAGGACACCTACTACATTAGGCCATGAAACCAAGACAGGGAGTCACAGCAACTCTACCTAATACATAGGAACAAACACAGGGAGGCTGCCAAAATGAGGAGACAAAGAATTTGATTTAGGCAACAGCACTTGCCTAAGTGAAAGAACAGATCAGAACTCCACAAAAAGAACAAACAGAATGGATAAGCAATCTGTCAGATGCAGAGTCCAAACACTGGTTATAAGGATGCTCAAGGAACTTAGTGAGTACCTAAACAGCATAAAAAAGATATAGTCAGAAACGAAGGACACACTAATTGAAATACGGAACAATTTACAGGAAAACAACAGTACAGTGGATTAAGTCAAGAATCAAATTGATGATCTGGAATATATGCAAGCAAAAAATAACCAATCAGAACAACAAGAAGAAAAAAGAATCCAAAAAAAAAAAAAAATGAGCATAGTGCAAGCAGCCTCCAGGACAACCTGAAGTATTCGAACATTCATATCATAGGGGTGACAGAAGTAGAGGAGAAAAAGCAAGAAATTAGAAATCTATTTGAAAAAATTAGAAAACATTTCAAATATTTGAAAGAAAACTTCCCTAATTTGGTGAAGGTAATAGACACACAGGTCTAGGAAGCACAGAGAGTCCCAAACAAGATGGATGCAAAGAGGCCCACTCCAAGACACATCATAATTAAAATGCCAAAGGTTAAGGATAAAGAGAGGATCTTAAAGCAGCAAGAGAAAAGCAGTTAGTTACCTACAGGGGGAGATCCCATAAACCTGTCAGCTAATTTCTCAAAAGAAACTTTGCAGGCTAGAAAGGATTTGCAAGAAATACTCAAAGTCATGAAAAGAAGGACCTACCACCAAGATTGCTTTACCAGCAAAAGTAACATTTAGAATCAAAGGGGAGATAAAGAGCTTCCCAGACAAGAAAAAAAACTAAAGGAGTTCATCATCACCAAACCATTATTATATGAAATGTTAAAGGGCTTTTTTTTAATAAAAGAGGATCACAACTATGAACCATAAAATGGCAATAAATACATATATATCAACAATTGAATCTAGAAGACAAACTAAGCAAGCAAGAACAGTGTCAGAATTATGGGTATGGAGAGCGTTTTGATGGATGCCGGTCGGGAGGGAGATGTGGGGGACTGGGTGAAGAGGGGAGGGACTGAGAAGTACAGATGGGGAGTCAGAGAGTAGCCGTGGGGGTGTACAGCACAGCAGAGGAAATGGAGCAGCCAAAGAACTCACACGCATGACCCATGGACCTGAACAACAATGTTGTGGGGACAGCCTGAGGGAGTGTGACGGGTGGGTTACTGAGTAGAGGGAGACAAAGCAGAAAAATTGGGACAACTGTAATAGCATAATCAAAAAATATAATTAAAATAATAAAAAATAAAATGGTGCTTTAGGAAATACTAAGTCTGGCATTTGCTCAAAACCTTGAACACAGAGCTAACATTTGACTCCTGTCGCAAAAGACCACACCGTGCGTGACCCCACTGGGAGGGACGGGGCGTGACTACTCAGGGGTACAGGGGTTTTCTTTTTGTTACAGTAAAGACACTCCAACATTGGGGTGATGGCTGCATAATTTTGGATATATGAAAAAAATCACTGAATTGTACACTTTAACTGGATGAACTATAGGTATGTGAATTATTTACCATCTCAGTAAAGCTGTTAAGTATTAAAAGACTATAACCTAAAAGAACCTTCTAATAAACACAGCCAGCACATGGTAGTGAATGACGAAGTGTCTGTGGTACTTTAATGGATACTTCAGCAAAGTATGGTTTTAACTAAAAAACTGTTTTATCAAAATTATTTTCTAAGTGAAACCATGAATAATTTTGCTATCTTGAGAATAAATTTATTTCTAGATTTATAAATCAAATACCTTAAGGTGTGACCTTCTGTCAAATTTATACTTTCTTCCAACATAAAAGGAATTGCTGTTCTTTTTTAAACATAAAATAATAGAAAAACTGAACTTTTGGGCCACCTTTTTGTTCATTGTGATGAAAACACATGGTATCTACCCTCTGTACATCCATAGGAATCTCTGCTTTGAACCACAGTACAATTCAAGTAGCGTAGAGAATACCAAAGTAGAGCTGTAGTAAGGAAAGAAGGCCAGACTTACATCAGGTTCCAGAGTCACACAACGCTGAAAGGCCTTCGCGGAGCCTCCGTAGTCTTCCAAGGCCAAGTACGCGCAGCCGAGGGAAAACCACACCCCGAGCTGCAAAGACCAACAGTCCGTCATTCAGGCACAGAGACATTTACGGGATGTGATCTGAACATTCTTTAAGGTACTATCAACAAACACTACTGTAAAAAATGCAGGGCTATACATTAAATATCTGCCTTACATTTTATAAGGAAGGTAAATATACAGAAATTTACCAAATGGGGATGAATGTTTCCATATAATTTTCAAAGCTGATATGATGCTGAATGCATTTGCAATATCATTGCACATGTTTTGCTGAGCAAATTCCATGAATGAAATGTTTGTAAGCCCTGAAACTGTAAGAATGGGATTAATCTAGCATTTTTACTGAGCATCAAGTTATGTAAAAAGTGTACAAAGTATCAGTAGATTCACAACTGATGAGTACGTATCACCAACTTGAGAAAAACTTTTGTTTCCATCTTCAAAGAAGACCGAAGTAGCCTTGCGGCCTGCCCACCCTCAGAGGGTCAGACTGCGCCGGGCCCATCTCTGCCTAGGCACCCTGAGCAGGACTCAGACAAAGTGGGCCCAGGATCTCAGCCTGGAAAGCCTGACTTAAGTCAGTGAGATCTGCAAACACAGGGATTGAGGAAAGCGGTGAATTAGCAAGTAGCTATTGAAATTACAAAAGAAATCTTTACTTCACAGGATTTCCTTAAAATTCAATAGCCTCTATCAAAAGGAAGATAAACCTGATAAAAATTCAATGAGGTTAGTCAGAAATGCAGCCACTACAGTCAGGTCTGCTTTCCTTTCGGACACAGCCAGCTCCAGGGCAAGGCAGCAGCCTTCTCAGCGGCCTTCTCAGGCCCCCAGCACAAAGGCAGTGGGCAGTGCTCCAGGGGGGGCAAGGAAGTGACGTGCTGGTGGTCTGTCCCCTGCGCCTTCCACAGAGGCAGGGTAGGAGGCTCCCCCACATCCCTCCACCCGGGGAAGGCCCATAAAACTTGTTCCATATGGCTAGTTGAGGCCTGAAAGTTCTTTAAGCAGATAAAGATTTTTCCCTGGTAATTAGAGATAAAGTTTAGAAAGCAAACATCCTTGGGCAGTTTATAACACTTTGTTTTGAATTCACGAGAGGCTACAGATTACTGCCATCAAGAGTTTTTATGCAGAACAGACTTTGTTAAGAGGGACAGGTGACAGGGGGAAAGGGGTTTGGTGGGAGGAAGGAGTAGCAGAGGTACCAGGCTGAAACAAAGTTAGAATACACTTTTAAATCAAGGGACTTCCAGCAACTTAAAAATGAGCTCATTCCACTTTGCTTTCATCTGGTTATTTACCCAATCGAGCAAGTGAAAAGAGCTACAACGCACCAAACCACACTCACTAAATATGACACAGTCTGAGTCATATGTGTGTTTCATCAGTTATAAGGTACACTTTCCTTTCACCATTTAACATCTCTGAAATAGATGCATCTTAATGAGCAATAGCTCATCAGAGTTTCATTGGCAGCATTAAGGTAGCACTTGAACGTGCCTCCTACAATTGATGACATCTTATATCAAATGAATTATGGTAGCAAGTTTATTTGGAACAAGGGATACCTCAATCTGGGAATAAATCAAAAAACAATGAGAACTGCCCTCAGAGTTTTCAAAACGCATGTGCCCTCCTTGCTTTCTGCATCAGCAAAGAACAAACCCTCCAGAAAACTATTTCACATATGTCATTATAAAAAACAGCGAATGTAAATTCAATATGTAAGTAAAGAACCTGATTTTTTTCAATCCACCTGAAAAGGCAAAGGTTACAGATATTTAAAATGAGCAATTATCTTATACCTCTATATGTTATGGCTGGTAATGAGGTTACTATTCAGCTTGAAGTTTTTGAAACAAGTCAATGTTTTGGCTTAAAATGAAAATAAATGTAATAGAAATCAGGAAGATAATATGTATTAAGGTTCTCTTTTAACTCTTGGTCATTTGTATTGTTTTAATAATTTGCATTTGAAGAAAAATTCTAGCATCACTAGTTGCTAGAAGATTAGTATTGATAACATGTAACTATAATGAGAGATGACTTTTGCACACCCTATTCTTTGAAATCACAAAGTGGCTTTAAAACAAACTCTAGGGTCTTATTGCTGGTGGCTGACCCACTAAACCATAAATAATGCGTTCGTAACTTGCTTCTCAATTGGAGGCCTCAATTTGGGGGACTGAGGAGAATATTTGGTGCTTTTACTTTTCTATCTTAAACTATTATTACTAATGGTGACTGATGTCTTGATTTCAGATGGTCATGCTTTTAAGAAGAGAATATCATAAAATAGAAAAAAGTCAAAAGAAACCTCAAAAAACCCTCTCACGTGATTCCCCAAATCAGGGCTGTGTGTGCTTGTGAAGCAAAGACCCCGCCCTCCCGGGCCAGTGCCGTCAGACAGAAACGTCACGCTAGCCTCGCTGCATTATGCTGTGGCCACATTTAAAAAGAGAAAACAAGTGGGTGAGATGAATTTTAGTTAACATGTCCAAAATATTATCATTTCAACATTATCAATATATACAATCATTGAGATATTTCACATTCATTTGTTCACACTATATGCATTTTTTCACCTTTGAAATCTAACGTGTTTCCAACGCTAGCAACACGTTCCAACTCGAGCAGCAGTGTTTCAGGCGCTCCGCTGCCGCATGCGGCCGGACGGTGAGCACCGCCCTGGGCGGCGCTGCTCTACCAGACCGTCCGAAACACGGACAGAGACCCAGGCGTGCCCTGCATTCCTCCCTCTCTTTTCAACAACAGCAACAAAACAAATAACAACAACAAAAACTAGCTCTTCTGGCCGAGACCCTCCAGTGGGCTCCTACCTTTCACGTACTACGTGACTCCTGCCTTCCCTGCAACAGCAACCAGAACAATCAGCACTTAACGAGCACCGGCCTCGTGTGTCAGGCCCTGTCACCAGAGCTTTCCACACCCCGCCCCATTTATTCCTCACAGCAGCCCTTCAAGGCAGTAACTCTGTCTGTCCCTCGTCGAGAGGTGAGGACGGGTGAGAGTCAGTCAGCAGGGGAGGAGAGGAGAGATGCGTCCCAGCGGTGTGACTCCCGAGTCCTCACGTTCTCCACGTGGCCACACTGCCTCGCACTGCACTGCTCTGCCCAGCACCGCCACGACTTATGATACCATCATCCCTGTCACCAGTGAAGGCGGGAGTGGGGTGACCAGTGAACAGGTGCTGGAAAACCAAGAAGATCAATTTTTTAAAATAACAGAGCATGTCTACTCCTCCCTGCCCCAAAGCTGTCTCCAGTAGGCAAGAGGACGGAGATGAGACAGAAGAGTGGGTGACCATGGTTAGTTGGAAGAAAGAGCTGAAAGGCAACCTCTTCTCAGAGGGGCTAAGCAAGACTGAAGAAAGAATCGCCTGGCGGAGGCTCTGGTTGAGATTTCTGCAGGGCGTATTTCCAGGGCAAATGACCAAGGCCAGCTAGTTGTCAAGGTGGGGCCATAATCTTTACGAGCTGACACTCTAGCTTTTCTCCTGAGGGAACCGATACAGAACACAAAAGCAGGACAACTATTTAATTACATTTTTATTGATTTATTTTTTTTAAGAGAGAGAGAGGATGGGGGTTTGGGGGAGAGAGAAACATCGATTTGTTGTTCCACTTATTTATGCATTCATTGGTTGACTCCTGCATGTGCCCTGACCAGGGACCGAACCTGAAAGTTTGGTGTATCAGGACAACACTCCAACCCACTGAGATATCTGGCCAGGGTACCCACTATTTATTTTTAATGTGATGATATATACCTAAAGAATGGTTTAAAATTATTCTTAAAATAATTAACAGGAATGGTTGAGAACATGGTCTCCCTTTGAACTTCCCTCATCCATTTTCCTGCAGAAGCAGTGAACTGGAAAGATGGATGCCTGGGGTCCAGGAGGGCCTGAGCAACTGCGCAACACCGGCCATGGCACTGAACCTGAGTCTCAGTGCCTGCTGCTTTATTTAACAGGCTGGAAAAAGCAAGAATTCCAAGGCTCCATTAGACCCCCGATTCTGAAAACCCTGGGGTGACAGGGTTAAAAGGTACCTTAGCGCCATCTAGTGGCAGAGCAAGTACACAGGTCATATAAATAGAATAGTATTGGAATCGGCAGGTTTGAGGATCTAGGAGGGAACCCATTCAATCAGAAATCAATTCAAAAGGGGTGAAAAGGAGAAGGAGGCACAGAGAAGAAGTAGTTTGCCTAAAGCCACACAATGGCTTTATGTGTGATGAAGACAGTGAGTGCAATACTTTTTAAACCTCATAATTAAAATGTGTGATGAAGAGAGTGAGTGTAATACTTATTAAACCTTGATAATTAAAGTTTGGAACTCTGAGGGCTAACAAAGACTAAGCACCAATACATGATGGGCATGATTAGTTTTATAATTAAAAAGTTAATTTTTACAAGAGTATTTAAACCACATCGGCAATTGGTGACATTAGTTATACATTACAATTTTCTTTCTTAAACACAGCATGCACCTACTACTCAAATTTCCCTCCTCCTTTAAGGTTTCTGCAGATTGAATAGTCAGTTTCTTCACATTCTTTGCTAATTTTCCTTACAGAAGTGACTCTGAATCTTCCTGATGTCACATAGAACAGAGTTTACTGTTTAATGGGATCCTAACGCCATGCGGCACACTCCATTCTCTCCTTTCTAATTCTTGAGTCGTTCCCGTGGCCCCGAAGGCAGACGAGTTGTTGAATGTGGTTTCATCAAGCGGGAAATGACCCACACCAAACCCAAGAGTGGTATCAATGTTCTTTGGTAGCAGCTTTTCCTAAGGGATGCATGGTACTCATCCTTTTTAGAACTGTCTACCATCAACTCTTTTGCAACCAAATTTCTCATTTACTAAGTCCTAACTTCTTTTCCCAAAGAAAACACAAGTCTTAACCTGCCAGCTTTTCTCTCTCTCTAAAGGAATGCATTCCTCTACTTCAGTGTCTCCCTTTAAACTAAAGGATCAATGAAATTTTACATACAC